AACAGCTGGCACATCTTTCCTCAGAAAAGGGAGATATTAAAGCTAATAAGCTGCACCCACATGGGAGACCAGGAGGAAGCCCCTGGCTCCTGGCTTCGATCGGCACAGCGCCAGCTGTAGCAGCCATTTGGGGGGGTGAATCTACGGAAGGAAGACCTTTCTGTCTCTCTCTCTCACTAACTCTGCCTGTTAAAAAATTAAAAAAAAAAAAAGCTAATAAGAATAATTGGGGAAGGATTTGTGAAGAGTTGGAGCTTGAAGTGGCCCTTGAAAGATGCTTCCTTTTGTATGTATAGGTTTAAGGGTGATGCGATGGTGTGATTCTTGGCATTCCACCAAAATTTATACATTGCTCCTACTATCTAATGTCTTAGCATTAAGAAGTGGGGCCTTTTAGAAAGTGATTGAGTCAAGAGAGCTCCGTGTGCATGAACGGGATTAGTGCCTTCATAAAACAGGGTGAAGAGAGCTCCCTTGCTCCTTATGCCACATGAGAACACACAGAAGAGCTATAAACAGGTCCTCACTGGGTACGGAATCTGCCAGCCCCTTCATTTTGGAATTCCCAGCCTCTAAAATTGTAATAAGCTTGTGTAGTTTGTAAATCACTCAGTGTAAGTTACATTGTTATAGCAGCCCAAGTAGACTAACACAGGCAAAGTATATGGGAAACCAAAATTCCTACTCTTACTGGATAATTCCTACAGTTTGAGTGCTAGAGACATTATACTGTTAGCATATTTGTCCATACTTTTTGATAATGAGCACTCATTGCTTTTGTAGCAACTAAGATCAGTAAAAGATAATGAAATGTTATTTATAAATTAGTGATGGTTTCGTGTTCATTTTGTGCCACTTATACCTAAGTCCCCTGCTTGGTTATATTGTCACAAGAGTGAAAGTTATTTAGTAACTTCCAATAATCCCTAATGACAATTATTTCCGTTTTTTTCAGTTTTCTTTTTCTAGGCACTAAAAGTATTTTAACTAATAACCCATTGCTAGATCTTTAGTTCAGTCCAATTAGTCTTTTATTGTTGATTGTTGAGGTTGGTATGCTTTTCTTTTGTCACTGGAAGGGGAAAATGTCAATGATTAGCTAAAATGAATTAAAAACACAGATCAAAATTAAGAGGAAAAAATCTTAGGAAATTTTGTACATGAACAAAATAGTCAAACCTGCAAACCTGCCATGTCAATTCCATTGTTACACACGAAGCCAGTAACCACACAAGACTTTTCCATTATCATGTTTTATAAATCTTGGGCCAACTGTTGAGTTTGGTATCTAGTTGTTTTAGGTCAAATTAATTTTAAATGAATTATCCAGAGTTCATTTTGTTCAAAACATTTGTTTTGAGCTTTTTTTATGTAACAAGGGTCAAGTGGCCTGGCATGAGAAATTTCATCTATTATATCTGTGTTAACATGGTACAGAGGCAAAGAAACATTTAAACTCATAACTTTTAAGGGATTAGAATCTGAAATTCATGTCCTTTAGCACTTCTCAACACAATTTTATCTTTTAATAAGTTGAGTATCTGTACATTGTACTTTTAGTTGTATATTTTAAGAGTCAAGATTTAAAATTCTTTCCTTATTTTCTTTCCTTTAGAATCTTCTATTGATCTGTATTCTACTATAAAATATTTAAAGTTAAATCGTGGGTGTCTGAATGTGTATGCATGCATGTGTGTGTGGGCATGTGTGTGTGTAGCATGTATATGTGTGGGACCTTTGAGGAAGGGTTGGAGGTGGAAGATGGTCTACTCTTGAACTAGAAGTAGACTGTCCCTTGGTCCTGACAGATTTTTGGTACATCAATATCTTAATTCAAGTCTACCAAACAGCTTAATTAGAGCTTTGCTTTTTAATTGTTATTTTTCTCTATTGAGCTAAATAAAGCACTAAAAATAAGGAATTTTAGGAACTTGACCAATAGTAAAGAAAATCCGAGAATCAGGTTGAGAAAAAGGTTTAATCAACCCTTCAGTTCTTAGAATGAATGACGATTTGTATTTGTGTTACAACAACATGTCTTGTGAAGTTGGAATCCATTTTCTGTGTGCAAATCAATCCTTTGTGTCCATTTAAAACTGACACTACAAGTAATGTCAGTATATCCAAACAGTAAAATCTATGCATTATAACAACACTAGTGATGTTCATTTACCTTTTTCTCCTCTTCTTTTGGGTGTTCCTCTTCTTTAAGAGAGTCTTTGGGTTTTTCTTTGCCTTTTATTTTCCCCTTTGCTTTGCCTTGAGGAACAGTTACTGTAGCAGGAATTACTGTTGGAATATGTACTGAAGGGATATTCAACATTGCTTCCAAATTAGGATCCTTGTCCTCTAAAACCAGAAAAAAGGAAAACAAATAAACATTCCTATTTGTTATTAAATAACATATATGCCTCAAAAATTTATCTATTGGCAATAATTTTACCTTGCTGAGTGTTTTTCAAAAAGTTAATGGAAAATGGAATTAAAAGATAAGTTTATTTGGGTGAAAAAAATTTTGAAATTTATGGATAGCATTTTTTAAGGATTTATTTATTTACCCAAAAGACAGAGCCACAAAGAGGCAGAGAGAGAGACAGAGAGAGAGAGAGAGAGAGAGAGAGAGAGGTTTTCCATCCACTGGTTCACTCCCCAAATGGCTGCAATGGTGGAGCTGCATCAATTAGAAGCCAGGAGCCAGGAGCCTCCTCTGGGTCCCCAATGTAGGTAAAGTGGCCCAGTGACCTGGGCCATCCTCCACTGCCCTCATAGGCCACAGCAGAGAGCTGAATCGAAGTGGAACAGCTGGGACCTGAACTGGCACCCATATGGGATGCCAGCACTGTAACTGGCAATTTTACCCGCTATACCATAGTGCTGGCCCCCATGGATAGCTTTATGAAGACCTCCTGTATGATTTATCAGTTGGAGAGATTTCAGGGCTAAGGGAATTGATCTGAAAATCAAGACTGCATTCAGAAAACACGAGGTATCCAATACTATAATATGCTTAACTTAATCAAACCATTATTTCACAGGTCTTCACCTTCTCATCTACATTGTAAATTAATGGGGTAATAATAATCCCTTCATTACTTGATAAATGTTTGAAAATGAATGGAGCAATAAGAAATAATGACAAAAAGACGTGTACCAGTTCCACGGAGTCAAAATAACCCAAGTAAGATCTGCACTCAAGTAGCAAAAATAAAGACATATTAAATAGGAAAGCAACCAATGAGATAAATAAGGAACTAGATTGTTTCTGGCTTAGATGACAGAATAAATTTCCTAGTGGAAAGTTAATTGTCTGCACTGCCACCCTTCTAAAAGGGGAGCTCATGTGAGGAGCAATTATGCAGGGAGGTCTGGAGCATTCCTTACATCGAGAATTCCAATCTCTCCTTAGCCCAGAGCACCACGCCCTGGTTCTCTTACTTCTCTGGTCAACATTTTTCTCCATCTTCCTTACTCATTTTTCCTTTTTTGTCAATCTTTTAAGTGTTTTTAGGTTCTAGGGCTTATTATGTTCTCAAACCTGACTGTGCATAATAATTACTCATGAAGTGAAAAACAAAACCCCCACTCAGACTCCACCTTGACCTACAGAATGAGGCTCACTTCATTTGTGAAAACACTGAGGGGGATTGTGATACACAGCTGCGGGCTGAGCACGTTCATTGCGTTTATTGGACTGGGTGATCTCATTCATTACGGGGGTCCAACTGTCATCAACGAGTTAGAGACTCCACAATCCCACATCTTAAGGCAGCATCTTCTCAGTTCAGATCCCACATTTCCCATCAGTGTTAGACATCTCCTGGGTGTAGTTTTACAGACATTTCTATCTCAGTTTTAAATCTCTCTTTTCCTGAGTGGATTAGCTTCCTATGTCCTCATTCAGTCAATGTCTCGACCAATCAAGCACTCTGTCTCCCAATTTGGACACTGAGACCAAATACATTTTCTCTTTTTGACTCATCCTACACATCTCCATTCATCACAGAGCTCTCAGATTTTCCCCAGAACCGCTCCTCCCCTAACTCAGCATACCACCTTCACCTGCTGGGTCTTTTCCAGTGCTGTCCTAAGTGATACCCTGGCACCTCTCAAACCACCACTTCAGTGACCACATTGCTTCCCTTACTTAAAGACCTCTGCCACTCACTGCCCAAGTAGGGCACGCAACATCTTTGCAGTTTGGTTCTCATCTACCTCCATTCCAATCACACTGAATTTCAACCTTTCTATCAAGAAGGAATACTTACACATGATTATGTGTTTGTACAAATGGTTCTTATTGCCCAGAATTCTTGTTCATTGTTTCTGTGTCTGGATAGTTCCCACTCATTTCTAAAGTGGCATCTTAAATCTCATTATTTTTCTCCACAGTATTTTCTTTCCATCCTCAGTACTTTGTTCATATGTAATTTCTAGACTTATGACAGTTACTGCTCTATTCATGTTTTCCTTTCTAATTAGATATTGAGTTCTTTGAATGGATATACCATAATTTGATTCATTTGAGTGGCTCATTGCCAGCTGCCTGACAAATAGGAAATACAGTATAGACACTGAATGGCAGTGGGAAACTCCTCTTTCCTGTTCTCATTCCTTCACTCATTTAGTTCCTGTTCTCATTCCTTCACTCATTTAGTAAGTATTGTGTGCCTACTACTATTGCCATGATTTGGAAAGAAAAACATGAAAGAAGCACAGACAAGGAAAGTATATGCAGTGGGTATTTTATATTAGCGAACTCTCAATTGCCATGTTGGGTGTTAAGTCTGTGGTCGGGGAATTACAGAGTGCTGTAGGAGCCAGAAAGGCCATCTCCTCCAAGTTGTCTGCACATAGTCTGTTTGCAGTTGTACTGACGAGTTCTTTCATCTTTCAGTATCTACGACGACTTTCCATGCTTTTACACTAATGAGCTTTGCCACACACTATTCCTAGTGTCTAGAATTCCCTTATTCCCTTCCTTTAATTTTTTCTTTTTGCCTAGAAAACTCCCCCTCATCTCCAAAAGACCCAGCTCTCCTACCAGTGCCACTTGCTCTGTGAAGCATTTTTCAGGGTGAGTAACCTCTAAGCTGAGACTTGGAGGATAAGAAGACGTTGAATAAAGTGTTAGGAGAAAGTGCTCTGAGCATTAGCACAGCCTGAGCAAACAGCCAGCCAGAAGGGAAAGCACAGTTTATTCAAGGAGCTGAAAAGCACATAATTGGGTGGGAAAGCATAATTGTCCAAAGGAAAATAAATCTGGCTGGTTGTCATCTGAGGTTTGGGGAAAGAGCTGTATAAAAGGTCTATGGGAGCCTGACTGATGTTGTTGAATTGTGGATATATTCAGTGGGCCAGTTGAAAGACGACAGGAAGCAAGAATGATATAGTCCTCTTAGCAAATTTACAAAGTGCTCAAAAATTTGAATTTCCTGATCTTTTTGTCTGGTTCACAGTTTTATTATCTGTTTCCTATCCAAAAGGAAACTAAAGTATGTTTAGTTGTGTATACCTAATTAAAGGGAGAGAACTGGATTGGAAATTTGTGTTTGTTTTTTTTATTTTATTTTATTTTATTTTATTTTTTGACAGGCAGAGACAGAGAGAGAGAGGCAGAGACAGAGAGAAAGGTCTTCCTTCTGTTGGTTCGCTCCCCAAATGGCCACCACAGCTGGTGGGCTGCGCTGATCCGAAGTCAGGAGCCAGGTGCTTCCTCCTGGTCTCCCATGCGGGTACAGGGCCCAAGCACTTGGGCCATCCTCCACTGCTTTCCCGGGCCACAGCAGAGAGCTGGACTGGAAGAGGAGCAACCGGGACAGGACTGGTGCCCCAACCGGGACTAGAACCCGGGGTGCCGGCGCTGCAGGCCGAGGATTAGCCTAGTGAGCCACGGCACCGGCCTTGGAAATTTGTTTGGACTTTAGCAGATAAAAAGTCTTAAATAATGATTCCATATATTTGTTTGTTTTTATTTATTTGACAGGTAGAGTTTACAGACAGTGAGACAGAGACAGAGAGAAAGGTCTTCCCTCCATTGGTTCACTCTCCAAATGGCCACAATGGCCAGAGCTACGCCAATCCGAAGCCAAGAGCCAGGAGTCTCTTCCTGGTCTCCCATGTGGGTGCAGGGGCCCAAGGACCTGGGCCATCCTCCACTACTATCCCAGGCCACAGCAGAGAGCTGGACTGGAAGAGGAGCAACCGGGACTAGAAGCGGCGCCCCTATGGGATGCTGGCGCCGCAGGCGGAGGACTAACCTAGTGCACCACATATATTTTAAGAAATTTGTAATGTGTAGATAGTTGTTTTTACAACCCATCATACCTTCAATTTTTTAATATATAAGAAGAAAAATATATATTATCTATACTATAAACATTTTCAAATGCAATACTTATAACTTGATACTAGGAATATTTGCTTTAAAGGGAATGATTACACATTAAGAGATCACTTAGGAAACAAGAGCAACCTGGCTGATAGAGTGTGGTGTAAATAGCATAGTCTAAAACAATGACAACCTGTGTTCAAAAGCAGTTGGATTTACTGGATTTATTGGTGACTTTAAAACATTTATTTTTTTTTTTAAGGTACAAAGTGACTTCTTCAAACTGGTGATTTACAAACAAATCAAATACAAAATTAAAAGACAAAACCCACAAGAAGCAAAAGCACTAACAAACCTAATGGAGCCTCTATCTCAATAGGATATTTGGTACGAGGTAAGAAACAAGATTATAATTGCCCGTAGGGATGCGCTCTCTGTAGGACATGTACTATATAGTTAAGTGAATAATTAGACCACTGTGATAGTTATTAATGCATACTTAATGTTATCTTCCATAGGGATTATTTTTAGATTTTGTAATGCTTTTTCTTAAAAAAAGATACCCATAGATTTCCTAATTATTCTTCATAAAGTATCTTACTTTTCTGTGGTTTGAAAGGAAATAGATTCCAGTTGGAGAATTTGTTTATGGAAAGTGGGCTGGAGGAATCCTTCAGGATGTCCAATGAATGGCTTATGTAGACTAATGTCCTGAAGCACACTGAGTGCTTTCACAACCACAGAAGTCATACAAATACGGCTTTGCAGAAAACCAAGAGGATTCTTTGGCAAATCTCACTTTCATCGGTACCAACAAATGGGCTTATTTTCATGGGCTGTTTAACCGATACTTGGAATATCTGTGATCTTGCATGTACATGTGATTATATAAAATAATGTGTAAATGATAAATGGTTTTTAAAGTATCAAAGCATTACTTTTGCTATGTAAGAGGAATTTTTTTATTTTTTATTTTTTTTTATTTTTTTGACAGGCAGAGTGGACAGTGAGAGAGAGAGACAGAGAGAAAGGTCTTCCTTTGCCGTTGGTTCACCCTCCAATGGCCGCCGCGGCCGGCGCGCTGCGGCCAGAGCACCGCGCTGATCCGCTGGCAGGAGCCAGGAGCCAGGTGCTTTTCCTGGTCTCCCATGGGGTGCAGGGCCCAAGCACCTGGGTCATCCTCCACTGCACTCCCGGGCCACAGCAGAGGGCTGGCCTGGAAGAGGGGCAACCGGGACAGAATCCGGCGCCCCGACCGGGACTAGAACCCGGTGTGCCGGCACCGCTAGGCGGAGGATTAGCCTAGTGAGCCGCGGCGCCGGCCTGCTATGTAAGAGGAATTTAAAAAGTTCATGAAAAATATGTACTACAGAAAATTATGCAGACACGTCAAAATATTTTGCCCCAAAGTGAAGTTGTCTTTTATAATTGTTTTTCTATGAACTTTTTGAAGTTCCTTCATAAATGATATATATGTATATATATATGTATGTACATATACACTCACAAACATGTATACAAACAGATGAACATTCACACACATCATATATTCCCACCTTGGAGGAAAAATCATGAGGTGCATTGAATCAGAACATTGTTATAGACAAGGGAGCAGAAAAAGAATGGTCAGGGAACCTGGTCACAGGGCACACTCAACCTTGCTACTGCATTCATTTCACCTGGCGCCATCCCACTGGCTCCGTAGTAGCTTATTGAGAGGCAGATTCCATTCTCTAAAGTGGCAGAGAAAGATCCAAATTTGCTGACAGGTTTATTTTTGGCATGTAAAACTTCTGAAAGACAAAATCAAATCAAGAATATTTCTATTTATTCAAAATAGATGTAAGCAAAATTCAGTGAGAAGGTTAGGAATTGAGGTCTAGTATAGTCAACTTAAAAACAATTGCTTGAATCCCCTCCCACACACCCAGGATGTTGGAGGTGAGATGCAGTTACAAAGATGAGAACTTGCCCTAGAAAGTTTGAGTCTGAGTTGAAACAAAGAGAGGGAACAGACTTGTGAATGGCACAGCCATGGGCAGATGATTCATCTGGCCAATTATCCACCTGACTTTTAGGATGAAAACCATCAGTTCAATCTCAATTTCCTCACATTTTAAAACACACTCTTAAATATCTGCATTTAAAACTCCTTACATTTTAAAATCCATTTTAAAATTATTTTAGCCAGATATAATTTTAAAGCAAACTCTTAAGGCATATGTGAAAAATTTTTAATTTTTCTCTTCTGCTATTTTATTTCTGGTTCATTATTTCCTGTATTATCAAACAATTAAGATCAGACAATAATGACTTAAAATATTCTAATCCAGGAAGAGGTAACCCCTGGACTGGGATATTCAAATGAGCAACAGAAAAAAACAGGTACTGTTTCAAAGAGAATGAAAGGATAAGCCACAGCCAGGGAGAAAACATCTGTGAATTTTGTATCTGGGAAAGGACTGCTACAAAAAAATACACAAAGAATTCTTACAGCTCAACAATGGCCTGATTAAAAATAGACCAAAGACCTCAACAGACACTTCACCAAAGAAGATACACAGATGGCAAATAAGTGTATGACAAGATGCTCCATATCATGTTATTAGGGAAATGCAAATTGAAACAAGATACCACCAGGCATTTATTTGAAGGGAGAAAATCCAACACACTGACAACACCAAATGCTGGCAAGGATGGAGAACAACAGGAACTTTCATTCATCACTGGTGAGAATGGAAAATGATATAGTCCCTTTGGAAGATACTTATAAAACTAACATACTCTTACCATATGACACAGCGATCACATTCCTTGGTATTTATCCAAAGAAATTGAAGATGTGTATCCATACAAAAACCTGCACACATATGTTTGTAGCAACTTTCTTAATAATTGCCAAAACTTGGAAGCAATCAAAATGTCCTTCAGTGGGTAAATGGAAAAATAAACTGTTGCATATACAGATAATGGGATATTATTCAGCACTAAAAGGAAACAAACTGCCACGCCATGAAAAGACCTGGGGGATAAGATAAACCCACATGACTAAGTCAGAGCAGCCAATCTGAAGAGGCTGCATGCTGTTATCCAACTATAACATTCTGGAAAATGTGTAACTATGGACACAGTAGAAAGATCAGTGCTTACCAGGAGTTAAAAGGGTGGAAAGGAAAACAGGCAGAGCACAGAGGATTTTAAGGCAGTGAAATGACCCTGTTTGATACTGCAGTGGTGGAGGCGTGTCATCACACATTTGTCCAAACCAAGAGTGAACCTCAATGTAAACTATGGACTTTGGGTGATAATGACGTATAGATCCATCGGTTCTAACGAATGCACCCCTCTGTGCTGTGAGAATGTTAGTGATGAGCATGAGATCATGCACGTACAGGGGCAAAGGGTAAATATATAGATTATCTTCAGGAACTGCTCTAAGAAATAAATTCCACCCAAGGGGAAAAAAACCTGAGGCTATTGCTGCAGTATAACAGGTTAAACTGCTGTCTTCAATGCTGGCATCCCATATGGGTGCCGGTTCTAGTCCCAGCTGCTTCACTTCCAATCCTGCTCCCTGCTAATGTGCCTGGGAAAGCAGCAGAGGATGGGCCAAGTGCAGAGATCTCTGCACTCATGTGAGAGACCTGGAAGAAGCTCCTGGTTACTGGCTTTGGCCTGGCCATTGCGGCCATTTGGGGAGTGAACCAGCGTATAGTAGATCTCTTTATATTTCTCTCTCTCTCTCTCTCGGCAACTCTGCCTTTCAAATAAACAAAATAAAATCTTTAAACAAACAAAAAAAAGATCATGCTTAGTGTGAATCAGGGTTCAGAGAAATAGGCACCTTTGTGCGCTATTAATGAGAGGATGTGCTGTTAGAAACTTGAGAAAAAACACACTGAAATAACTCTTTTAAAGGAACTGAATGCACATAGAAAGAAATACTAGCCAGCAAATAAAAGAACACATGTTCAGCAAGATACAAATTATAGATGTGATGAATTCTTTTATTTTTATAGCATATAAATATAGGTTAAAAAGCATTTCCTGGGCCGGCGCCGCGGCTCACTAGGCTAATCCTCCGCCTTGCGGCGCCGGCACACCGGGTTCTAGTCCTGGTCGGGGCGCCGGATTCTTTGCTAGTTGCCCCTCTTCCAGGCCAGCTCTCTGCTGTGGCCAGGAGTGCAGTGGAGGATGGCCCAAGTACTTGGGCCCTGCACCCCATGGGAGACCAGGATAAGTACCTGGCTGCTGCATGCTCTGGCCGCAGCGCGCCGGCCGCGGCGGCCATTGGAGGGTGAACCAACGGCAAAGGAAGACCTTTCTCTCTCTCTCTCTCTCACTGTCCACTCTGCCTGTCAAAAAAAAAAAAAAAAAAAAGCATTTCCTGGAATTTAGAAACATGATTCTCCAACCATACCATTCAGGGTTCAGTAGATGAATTGAAGGGAGAAGGGTCACTTTTGAGAATCACATGAATTTCTTGGAAAATAAAGTGAAAAAATATATCAGACCTTTATAATAATTTTTAAGGATTTATTTATTATTATTTGAAAAGCAGAATTTCAGAGAGGTAAAGGCAGAGGCAGAGAGAGAGAGGTCTTGCATCCACTGGTTCATCTGTCAACTGGCAGCTATGGCAGGAGCTGGGTGAATCTGAAACCAGGAGCCAGGAGCTTCTTTCAGGTCTCCCACGTGGGTGCAGGGGCCCAAGGACTTGTGCCATCTTCTACTGCTTGATTGGAAGTGGAGCAGCCGAGATGCAAACCAGCAGCCATATGGGATGCTGGCACTGCAGGAGGCGGCTTTACCCCAACCTCAGCACCGGTCCCATATCTCAGACATTTAAACAGAAGGAAGTCATAAAGGAGACAGGTTTGGAGGAAATATTTTTTTCAAGTTGCAAGTATTACAGAAAGAAAAAGGAACAAATGAAAAAGAGAAAAGATTAACAACCAAAGAAAAATTCCCCGAGTTGAGGTTGGAGCTTGATTTTCAGATTAGCCGGGCTCCTTAAATTCTAATCTCACAGTCATAAGACTGTGCATCAGCGACCAAGAATCAAAAGAGGAAATAATGACAGTCCACAGATCCTACATCCAGCCCAGATGTCATTCTGAGAGGCCCAGACACATGTAAACTGTGAAAGGACACATTATCATGTGTCCCATATGAGGGGAAAATGTAATCCCACTAAACAAACAATAAACAAACCAGAACGCTAATCTTTAGAAAAAGGGAACTAGAAAGCAAGCAGTGGTACGTAATGATCACCGCTCTATCTTCTCATCTTTCTCTCTGTCGATCTGTTGAAGAGCTTTCTAAATCAGGAGAAGCACGCTTTTTATTTTATTTTTTTTTCTTTCTGGAAAAGGCCAGCCATAAAATATTTTAGATTTTGTAGACCACATATGCATGATCTTCAAAAATTCATGGAAAGTGGAATTAAAATATAGGTTAGTTTTGGTGTAAAGATATGGAAATTAATGCATATGAGGGGTTTCTAAAACATTAATGGCAAATGTGTATTATGAAATAGGTATGCATGAATGTCAACTCTTTTGTACCAAAATAAACTTTTCTTCTAATTCCATTTTCCATGAACTTTTTGAAGTACTCTGGTATAATCCTTATCATTTTTTTCTTTTTAAATGTGTATTTATTTATTTATTTTCAATTTAATTGAAAGGCAGGGGGAGAGAGAGGGAGGAGAGACAAACAGGGAGACATATTTCATCTCCTGGTTCACTCCCCAAATGCCCACAACAGCCAGGGCTGAGTCAGGCTGAAGTCAGGAGTCTAGAATTCAATCCAGCTTCTGACATGGGTGGCAGGGATCCAACTACTTGAGCCATTGTCTGCTATATCCCAGGGTCTGCCTGGGCAGGAAGCTGGGTTGGAAGTGGAGGAGGCAGGACTTGAACCAGGCACTCTGATCTCGAATGTGGGAGCCCTAGGTGGTGGCTTAACCACTGTATCAATTGTCCACTCTTGCCTTTTCTTTTTGTGATAACCTTTTACAAATGTATAAACTATCCCTACTTTGTGAGCCATACAAAAACATATTGTGGGTCAAATTTGGGCCAACGTCTACAGACTTAAAATTGAAGTGAAAAAAAGTAAAAAAAAAAATCTCAAAATGGAATGTTTAATATTAGCACTAAAATAAAATATTATCTATACAAAAAGGAATGATTGAGTTCTATATGTATATATATAGAAATAAAATATACATATATAAATATAGATATATATGTTTATAAACATATGTATAACCAAATTCAAATATAAATGTATTTATTTACTTTGGTACAAACCATATAAATATGTAAAACCATGGAAATGATTTAAGTAAACTGTGATATAGCTATACCAATGATACATTGCTAAATCCTAAAAATTTTGTTTTTTAAGAAGTATTTTATGGGGCTGGCGATATGGCGCAGTGGGATTAACACCCTAGCCTGAAGTGTCGGCATCTCAGATCGGTGCTGGTTTGAGACCTGGCGGCTCCAATTCTGATCCTGCTTTCTGCTGTGGCCTGGGAAAGCAGTAGAAGATGGCTCAAGTCCTTGGGTCCCTGCACCCACGTGGGAGACCCGGAAGAAGCTCCAGGCTCCTGGTTTTGGATAGGTGCAGCTCTGGCCATTGTGGCCAATTGGGGAGTGAACTAGTGGATGGAAGACTCTCTCTCTTTGCCTTTCCTCTCTCTGTGTCACTCTGTCTTTCAAATAAATAAATAAATCTTAAAAAAGTATGTTATGATCAGGAAAATGCTCATGATGATAAAGTGAGGGAGGAATAAACTGAATAGTTATCACTGGAGTGTTAGAATTATAAGTAACTTTTTTTTTTCTTTCTTTCTTTCTTTTTTTTTTTTTTCTGACAGGCAGAGTTAGACAGTGAGAGAGAGAGAGAGAGAGAGAGAGAGACAGAGAGAAAGGTCTTCCTTTTCCATTGGTTCACTCCCCAAATGGCCGCTATGGCCTATGCGCTGCGCCGATCCGAAGCCAGGAGCCAGGTGCCTCCTCCTGGTCTCCCATGTAGTGCAGGGCCCAAGCACTTGGGCCATCCTCCACTGCCTTCCCCAGCCACAGCAGAGAGCTGGACTGGAAGAGGAGCAACCGGGACAGAATCCGGCGCCCCAACCAGGACTAGAACCTGGGGTGCCGGTGCCGCAGGCGGGGAATTAGCCTAGTGATCTGCGGCACCGGCCAAGAATTATAAGTAACTTGTATCTTCTTTAAATATTTCTATATTTCCTAGTTTCTAAAGTAATTAATATATTTTATATCAGGTAAAAGAAATAAGTTATGAAAATTTCTGTGCTAAGTTCTTGGGTGCACTCACACTGTCAAACATTGTGTCCTGGGTTCTGGATGATATAATTAAACTTATATGCAAGAGTTAGTTATTGAGCCCATCTCTAGGGTCAACATGTTTTATTAATGAACTCAATTCCTTTTGCAGGGAGGACTCCATCCACACTGGACAAGAAAAAGTCAATTTTCCTAGGTGGTGTAACCTGGAGATATTAAATGGTGTAATCAGGAAGTTTCATTGTGTTTAATCAGTGGACACCTACTTGCACCTGTTATTTCCAAGCAGGAAATGACTCTCAAGGCCAAATTTATGATTTTTCATATAATCTAATAGTTTTTCTTATAATCTAGGAAATCTGGTACTCTGGAGAGAACTAAGTGGTAGACTTAGCATAGGAAGAAAACCACACCATTTGCTGTAAATACTGAACAAAAACTAAAGCTTTATAGGAATCAATCAGTGAGGACCTGAGTTCTAGAGATGGTTCTTGGTACAAGCACTTAATCAAATATAAGGGCAGAATGAACATCACAAAGTCAGTGTTGCTGCACAAAGGTAGCCAAGGTAGCCAGCCTGGGCAGGCTCTGAGTGGCAATTACATCAGGACCTGGGTAGGCCATGGGAGCACCATCAAGTGACCAGCTTGCTACAGACATGTTATGCATATAATGTTTGTGTACATAAGCAGGATGGCAAAACACCTCCATTAACATCTGCAAAAAGTCCATGTGCTAAGTGGAAGGGAAACATGTTTCTGTCAGGGAGATAGGTTTGGCACCTTGCTAAGCATTGGCCTGCACTGCCAAAAAGACTCAGCTGCTTACTTGTTTTAAGATTTTGTTGTTTCTCTTCTTCTGTTTCTTCTTCTTCTTCTTCTCCTTCTTCTTCTTCTCCTTCTTCTTCTTCTTCTCCCACTTCTTCTTCCTCTTCCTCTTCTTCTTCTTCCACTTCTTCTTCTTCATTCTTCTCTTCTGAAGGATAATCCTTTTCTTCCTTTTCCTTTTTCACAATTTCCCTAGGGTCTTTTAAATGAATTATAAAACTGTGTTTGTCCTTTTTCACTTTCACTTTGATAAAAGTTGAGCCTGAGGGAGAACCGTGGGATAGAAGATGGGCTGATTAGAAGCCACATTAAGCTTGTTGGCAGGCTACTTAAATAATGCAGCACAGAATTGAAACCAGGGGGAGTGGACTGCCTGGGGATGTCAGCTCTCCTATAAGATAATACCTAAAGGACCAAAGTGGTGGTCCAGATCATTCCAGAAATAAATGGTAGATGGGTCAAGGAGGTGTCTGCACATCACATCTCACACCAAATTACAAAGGAAAAAAAACATATCAACTGAGACAATGTGCTCCTACAATCAATTTTATGATTCATCAAATGAAATGTGAGAGGGCCTTTGACTCAAAAAATAATTTCATTTATGATAGCTGTTGTTATGTTATTTTCATAGTACTTATAAGAAATTTCCCCTTTTAGTGTTCTCAATCATTTTCCTTCTCCTGTTTTTTTTTTTAAATTCAGCTCTTTTCAAATTTGAGCTATTATCTCTCCAAATTGATAGGATTAATTAAGATGGAAATATTTTATTTACTGTGAAACTTAAATGCATTGCATCCATACGAAAATCTTAATAAGAGTTATATCAACTGGACAGTGGTAGCAGGGTCTCTAGGGCCCAAACCAGAAAAATCCTTAAACTCACAGTAAGTGCTTGGTTTCTAAAATGAGAATATGTGTTGTCATGAATATTAATTAATTTCTGGCTTGTTGCAGTTACTATTATCCTGCCTACCAATCATATGGAAACATTTTAATATTTTACTAACTGAATGATCATAATTCATGTGACCTGGCTAAACTGTGTGGCTTTTGCCTTGCGGAGTTAATTATAATAGAAGAATGTGAAGTCTGAAAAATGCTGAATGTGGTATATAAATGAATCCCCTATTACATTCAGGAGTATAGAGCCCCATGATTATCTGAAATGCATTAATATCTTTCAAGTCATTAATCAGCTGCTTTCAAAGTGTACCTTTTACAAATGCTATCTTTTCTACTTCAATTTGTCCTCCATCAGAAGGATACAGGTAGTAATTTGTCCCTGAGATTTGGACAGGTTTTTCTCCCATATTGTATCCTTGAAACTAGAAGAGAAAACATCATTCATTTAGTGTGGAGTTGCACTTGACAAAACTGAAACTAACAAGGTTTGCCAACTAAACCTGGCATAAGCTTCAGTTCTGATAAATGATAACATCTGTCACTTTGTAGACTCAGAGGCCAGAGGCCACATTATCTTTACAGCCTTCTAAGATGTTACAGTGATAAGTAGAAAGAAAGGGGGTCTGAAATTTGAACCGTGCTCATTGGAGTAGCCTTACAACCTAGTCCAAATCAAATCATTGTACTATTGTCCAGGCAGTGTAAAAAGTTGAATTCTCACTTTCTGCTGGTGAGTTTCAGTGCAAATGAAGCTGATGGACTAATGCATCCTGACACTTGTGCACTTCAAGCGATCATTTGCAAAGGACCCTGTTTACTTAAACGTTGTGAATAGATCTCTAGGAGACCCTGATTCTTGCTAACTGGAGAACAACTGGTCTAGAGTAGTAGCTACAAAGGACCGGGCCTGTTATGTTTCTTTCCAGCTAGGTTTTTCTTATGGTAGCCTGATGAGGAAGAGCTGGTTTTATAGAAACAATCAAGCAAGGAATATGGGTGCTTTGCAGAGAGTCAGCCAAATTACTCAGCAAATTCTATTTGTGAGACAGATAAAGTCGACCCTGGTCTTCACGTTGTCCTAGTACAGTCCCTTATTTTTTAGACACCTAAATGAATGCTTTTGTGACAAATTTCCATGTGTGTTGACCCTAGTAACCTAGCTTCACAGCATACAAGGAAAGCTGGCCAGAGGGTGTTCCTATCTTGGTGATTGGCTACAAAGAAGGTTCCAGATATCAAAGGGTAGAATACATGCTCAAACTCATCATATCAGAAGATATGTGGTGGTGAAGGCAAGGGGGTTGTATGCTTCCACAGAAGCCACGTTTCCTCAAAACAATTAAGGACAGCCCAAAGACACATTTTAGAGAATTGATATTACCTGGTAAACTTTCTCAGGCTCTGGTTGTTGGACAGGCTCCTCTGTGACTTCTGGGGCCTCTTTGACTTTATCCTTGAAAGAATATTTTTTCTTCAAAGCCTTACTATCTTCTCTCTCAACTCTGTCCTTGCCTTGCTTTTTACCAATGTCTTTATTCTTCTTTTCTGCCTTCTTCTCTTCCTTCACGCGTTCCTCTTCTGCTAATCGCTCCTGTTCTTCTTTCCATGCCTACGAACACATTTAAAACATTCAGCGGATTTTTGAAACAATTTAGATGTGGGTTCCTTTAAGGATCCTTTTGCAAATTATTTTTTTTTAGCTTTTATTTAATGAATATAAATTTCCGAAGTACAGCTTATGGAGTACAATGACTTCCCTCCCACCCCCAACCCTCCCCTTTCCTGCTCCCTCTCCCCTTCCATTCACATCAAGATTCATTTTCGATTCTCTTTATATACAGAAGATCAGTTTAGCATACATTAAGTAAAGATTTCAACAGTTTGCACCCACATAGAAACACAAAGTGAAAAATACTGTTTGAGTACTAGTTAGAGCATTAAATCACACTGTACAGCACATTAAGGACAGAGATCCTACATGAGGAGTAAGTGCACAGTGACTCCTGTTGTTGACTTAACAAATTGACACTCTTGTTTATGGCATCAGTAATCACCCTAGGCTGTTATCATGAGTTGCCAAGGCTATGGAAGCCTTTTGAGTTCACCGACTCTGATCATATTTAAGCAAGGTCATAGTCAGAATGGAAGTTCTCTCCTCCCTTCAGAGAAAGGTACCTCCTTCTTTGATGACCCGTTCTTTCCACTGGGATCTCACTCGTGGAGATCTTTCATTTAGGTCATTTTTTTTTTTTTTTTTGCCAGAGTGTCTTGGCTTTCCATGCCTGAAATACTCTCATGGGCTTTTTCAGCTGGCTCTGAATGCCTTAAGGGCTGATTCTGAGGCCAGAGTGCTGTTTAGGACATCTGCCATTCTATGAGTCTGCTGTGTATCTTGCTTCCCATGTTGGATCATTCTCTTCCTTTTTCATTCTATCAGTTAATATTTTGCAAATTATTCAACACAATTTTTTAAGTGGTATCTGACAAATCACAGTACTGAGTTGGAAACCTAGGAGTCATCTTGGTTCCTCTGTCTCTCACCTAACTTCCGTGTAGTAAATCCTGTCCATTCTCCTCAGAGAGCTCTCTCCACTTCAGCTTCCTCTCTCATCCTCTGTCGTGATTTCCTTAGCTTAGGTCTTTTTTATCTTTAGTCTAGGCTGGTGCAGTAGCTTCTTAGCTGATTGCCCTGTCTTCCTTCTTTCTCTATATTAGTTGAATCCGCAAAAGCATTTTTATGTATCAGTAACTAACTTGTCAAAAATTTCTATAAAAGCAACTGATACATAATAGCTACAAACATGCCTTGAAATAAATTTAACCAAGTATGTAAAAGGCTTTTACAAAGAAAATTACAAAACACTAATGAGAGAAATGTAAACAGGAAGGGCCTCTCATGATAATGGACTGGGATGATTAATACCATATAATATTACTATTAAGCTACCCATAGCAATCTACAGATTCAATATAATCCCCATAGAAACACCAGTGACATTCTTCACATATCCAGAAGAACAATCCTAAAATCCGTATGGAAACACAAGAACTCCTGACTAGTCAAAGCAACCCTGAACAAACGAACACAGCTAGAGTCCACAGTGCCAGATTTCAAGATACACTGCAGAGCAACTGTAACCAAAGCAACAGGGTACTGGCATAAACAAATAGATCCGTGGAACAGAATGGAGAGCCCAAAAATGCATCCATGCATCTCCAGCCAACTGATCTTTGACAAAGTCACCAAAACCACACCCTGGAGAAGGGACAGCCTCTTCAATAGATGTTTCTGGGAAAACTGGATATCCAGAAGCAGAAATTGAAATTTGATCCTTGCCTCTTACCATATACAAAAGTCAACTGAAAATAGATGAAGTTTTTACATTTAAGACCTGATATTATGAAACTACTGTAAGAAAACACAGGAGAAATGCCTCAAGATTTCAGAACAGGCAACATTTTTTTAGGTAAGAGCTCAGAAGTGCAGGCAACAGAAGTGAAAAATAGACAAATGAAACTATATCAAATTAAGAAGCTTTTGCAGGCCAGTGCCGCAGCTCAATAGGCTAATCCTTTGCCTGCGGCGCCAGCACACCAGGTTCTAGTCCCGGTTGGGCGCTGGATTCTGTCCCAGTCGCTCCTCTTCCTGTCCAGCTCTCTGCTGTGGCCCAGGAGTGCAGTGGACGATGCCCAAGTGCTTGGGCCCTGCACCCCATGGGAGACCGGGGGAAGCACCTGGCTCCTGGCTTCAGATTAGCACGGTGCGCCCGCCACAGCTCTCAGGCCACAGCGGCCACTGGGGGGTGAACCAATGGAAAAAAGGAAGACCT